CGGGGAGGGAGAATTTCCCGATGCTCAAACTTCTCCGAGAACCTTGTAGCCTCTTCGCGGTCGTTGAACCAAAGAAACGACCCGTCAAGGTATTTGTGCGTTGATGGTGGAGGAGCCGAGGAAGAAGCCACGTTCTTGCCGGTGCGGGATCTTTTTCTTTGACCTCCTGCCATTTCAACAAAGAGAGAGAGGGAGAGCAACACAAAAAAGGAGAAATTTGCAGAAATTTTGAAAGAAAATGAAGAATAGGAGCAAGAATGATGGATTATGATGAATATATGGAGAAAATATGATTTGAGTGAGTATAAAATGAATAGAGATCACCAATTTATAGAGTAGAAGCTTTGGAGATTCGTAGAGGTGGTCAAATAGGCATTAATTGCTCTCCAACGTCTCTGCAACGGTCAGATTTTTGAAAAAAAATCGCCGTTGATAATCGACTTACACTCCCTGTAAATCGATTATCTGAGGCTTCAGATTCTCCGCCAAGGAAACTGCAGGCTTCAATAATCGATTGTCATGTTTTGGTAAATCGATTGTCCTGCGCCTGACTTTAAATAAAGTTCTGCAGCTCCATATAATCGATTATCATGACTTGGAAAATCGATTGTTGGAGTTTGTGCCTGAGTTGCCTTAAACTTCTGCTGGCTCAGATAATCGATTATCTTAATATTGATAATCGATTATTTACTCCTTCAACTTCCGTGCTCTAAACTTCTGCAGGCTGTGATAGTCGATTATCACAAGCCTGTAAATCGATTTACACCAGGTCTGAAGCAAAAATCGATTTACATGTTCCCCCTGCCTTTGACACCTTAAAAATAAAAAAAAGAGTCCTGCAAAAAAGAATTAAAAACGTCTCCGACGTTCAAGTTAGTAGGGATCAAAAAGAATAATAACTAATGCACAATTTAGATCATCGTGGAGTCAAGGATTCCGAGTTCACTACGAATGCGGAAGAACGACTATTTCTCTAAAGGTTTTGTGAAAATGTCGGCTAATTGGTTGTGTGTTTCAACGAACTCAATTTCGACATCACCTTTGAGAACATGATCTCTAATGAAATGATGCCTAATGTCAATATGTTTCGTCCTTGAGTGAAGAACCGGATTCTTCGTCAAGCTTATAGCACTAGTATTATCACATCGAAGAGGGACGTGATCGATA